CTGAAAGGACACTGAGAGTTTTGTTGTGTGTGTGAAACAGTTGCAGTCAGAGTGGGAGACCGTGTCTCTGGAGCTGGAGCAGTGGGTGGTGTGTGTTCGCCAGCTGGAGGATGTTCTGGTGCTGCAGACTCTCCTACTGGTGCCTCCTTCTCAAGGAACAGCAGGGGGCGCTGCAGTTCAGTGCTCCATCAAAACACTACTGGAAGGAGGAACAGGTGAGGTGTAAAACAGTGTTTTTTTTAAAGGGGGGGTTGCACCCTCACAAAACTGCAGGAAAAACAAGTTTAAAAAAAGCAAAAATAGAAGATATTAACTCTAAGAATTGTTTTGAATCATAAAAAATCAAATCTGTTTTTTCTGTCATTATTTTATTATATAATAAGAGATGTTTAACTTATTTTGTTCTTAATTTTAGCAGTTTGTTGAAAAGTGGGTGGGTTTTAGTGGGAATATTACAGTGTTTAAAACATGTTAGTTAATAAAATTCTTATGCAAACTGTATTTATACACCTAAAATAAGGTTCAACTGATAAATCATACAATATGTAAGAACTGCAGTTAAACCGAATTTTTACTTTTAGGATTACAAGTCTATACCACAACCCAACATCAGAGTTTGATTTTAGGAACATCAGATTGATACTGCATATTGTTTTCTGTTAAGGTGGTATTGCCGACAGCGTTTCCAAATGGGTGTTCAGACAGAACATGGCACCAGAGCGACTGAAGGAAATTCTTCGAAGGAAAGAAACTGAAGGTGTAAATGAGAAACACGAGCAGAAAGAGGAGGAAACTGAGGAAAGAAAGGGCCAAGAGGACTCAGACAGGACAGCAGGTGACCACTTTAAAAGCCTATAAATAAGTTTATCAGTCATTACTTATGAATGTAAATGCTAAAATGACTTATTGATGGTTACATTAAAAATATTTTTCTGTTCCCTGATGTTTCCCAGAGTTGTTGGTGGCAGTGTGTCAGCGGTTCCCACACTCTCTGTCTCCTGACCTGCTTTTGGCCCACTGCAGCTGGGAGTATGTAGTGCAGTGGAACAAAGACCCCGAGGTGCACAAACACACCAACAGTTAACAATACAAACATCAGACTTAACTGAAACTTCTAGATTAAGCCCACAAAAAAGTGTTACTTTCTACTTAAAGCTGCTACATTWTTAATMKTTACTTTTATTTTTAAAGGAAGCCCAGTATTTATCCTGTGCTGTGGAATATTTACAGCTCATCTCCAGTCCACACATTCAACTAGGTCAGTAACTTCTTCAACATAATGCTGTCTGAAGCAGTCCGTTTTTTTATGTATACAAAACAGAGGGTTCATCAGAATGACACTACTGTAAAACCACAAGTCACTGTTTTGACACAATTTTATCAATCATACCTACCACAGCTTTAAAATTCAAAGATTATTTTGTTCATACAGGTATTTCCACAATGATGTGGAGCACATTTATCGTAAAGCGCTTCTCAGCAGCATCGTACCTCATGGAGAAGGTAAACAGTGCAAGTGCACTGCACCTGTACCAGTAGGATTTCATCGTTTTGCTTCATTACAAACTTATGTGCTTTATTTTTCAAGGTGGGGAAAGCTCCCAAAGATCGCTTATGTCGACGGGTGAGTGTATATAAAAGAATTTTAAGCAACCATCCCAAATTAGAATGCATTGTTTTATTTAGAAATAACTAATAACGTAGAGAATTTGCATTATTTGTGAAAATTCAGTGTGAATGCTTAATACTGAAAGATTTTTGCAGAAACAAAAGAAAAGATGTACAAACATTTTCAAATTTGTTGTAAAACAAGCCAAAAAAAAAAAAAGTTAATTCTAGCACAAAGAACCAGAAAGAGCATGTTTACCAAATTAAGCAGTAAGTTGAATTTTGTTGAAAATAAAAAAGCTAAAATTAGCTAAAAGAGCTAAAAAGTAGCTTAAATTGCAGAAAACAACTGAAAAAAAGGTATAAAAAACCTTATACAATCAGAAATAAGCTGATAAAAGCCCAAAAGCAGGATAGCTGAAAAAGCAGGGGGGGAACAGCTAAAATTTGCAAAGAAAAAAAAAAAAAAGGAAGAAGAAGCTAAAATTATTACAGTGAAGTTCAAAGAGGAGAACCAGAGCAAAAGGTGAAAAGTTAAAAATATATATATAAAAATTGGAGGATTTTAAGGATGTTGAGAAGTTTGTTCATTTTCAGTGAGAACAAAAATGGCAGAAAAAGCTGAATTATAAATTGCTGGAATACAAAAAGTCATAGCTGGAATGTCCTGAAGGAGCTGAAAGTTTTGATACATGAATTTTTAAAATAGCATAAAAATCGTGGAACAAGATAGAAAAATAAAAACAGGTAAGTAAAAGTAAAAATAAAATGTAAAATGTATCTCAATAAAGCAGTCACACATTATTAAATTGCTGCCAACGTGTTTAAATGTTCAGACTGACCAGTTTTTCTGTGAGCAGGACGTCGGGATGGGAGACAAAGCCATGACATCTTTCCTGGGCTGCTGCGTCCAGCTGCTGCAGATCCTCATGGAGGTGACTGCGTTATTGGTTAAGAATCAGAGCTCTTTGTCTTTTATCCCTTTCTATGTAAGTAAMATAACTGCAGGATGGAGCATGGAGAGTGGCCAGTGCCTGGCGTTAAAGCAATCTCATACTGAGTTTACACTTTAAACTAAGAATGCACGAGCATATTGTTATTTTAGCATRCTGCTGTGCTTTGTTATGATCGTCACAGCTGCTTAGTAATACTGCTGCGATTACTAAAGCAGGTTTATACTCACAGGCGGATTCTGCCACAGACGAGGTTCCTGCTCCGGAGCTTTCTGTCGAGGAGGTGTGGAGTGGAGCTGAGGGCCCAGCATCCATAGCTGAGCTCGCCTTGGACCAAAGAGGTGTTCACTTTCCTCTGGTTCAACACCACTGCCTGTTAGCGTCATTGCTACATGCTACCATGAGCTTCAGCATCAAAGTCAAACCCCTCAGTCTGTTTGATAATAAGGTAAGCAGCCTGACTGCTGAACACAGCTCCATGTTTGACACCGACATCATGATGGAGCTTGATTTTATTCCTGTTTTAGGGTAAAAATGCTTTCTTCAGAGATCTGACAACCATCCAGCTCATGCCCAGTGGAGACATGGACCCTAGCTTGATCTCACAGCGAAAAGAGGTAGAAGATGAAAGGAAATCTTTTAGAGGAGGAAACGTGCTCCGTATCTCTCTCTTTATTTCTGTTTCCCTGCTCTTCTTCAGTTTCTTTCCCGGGTGCTAACGGCGTGGGTGCAGGCCATAGATGTTCCTTCCAGCTCAGCCGTGGCTCCCGGCTCTACCCCCCCACTGCCCTCTGCTGGACCCAAAGCTGACTGGTGGCCCTCCCTGTGCCTGGAGCTGGGCTCCCTGCTGCAAGTCAACCCAGACATCCTGCGACGCCACCTCGTCTGTGAGCTCTACAACCAAGGCCTGGACCTGCGAGCCGAAGAGGTATAGATAGGAAACAACAAACGGCCGTGTGTTCTAGAACCTGACGGCAGATTCTGAATAAAATATAGTGACGTGTCTTGATTCAGCCCTCGTTTATTTTTATTTTGCCACCAAGACAAGCCAGTTATCCTTGTAATACTTTAGAGGTTTTAAGAGGTTTTCTGAGGCTGTTTTAGGGATTCTTTTCAGTCCAGCATTTAAAATATATGGTTTGATTGTTAAGCTACTCAACTCTATGAATTATTCATGTAAAAAGTATCCCTAAACTCTCTCATATAACACGTTTACACTAACCTGATCTAAATGGGATCTTTAGGTGCTCACCCTGTCACAAACATGATTTGTTCCAAATTAAGCTAATGGAGTTGTGATCCTTTTATCCCCAAACTCCAAAAAAGCTTTCTGTATTACAAAAGAACACGATTACATCATCGTTAAATCAGTATGGTTTCACATTGAGAAGGATGTTTTCTAAACGTGACACTAATTGCTGTTGATCTCCTGTGTGATGGAATATCCAGGTGATGTTAGAGGTCGAAGATAAGGACGTTCTGGGCTCCCAGCTCTTGGTGCTGACTGGTCAGAGGCTCAGCTACTGCCTGCTCCACAACCAGAATCGGACCCAGGCCGCCATGGAGCTGCTGGCTCGACTGCCCCCCACCCTCTGCACCTGGCTCAAGGCTATGGTAATAAAAACGCAACTTTTTAATAATTAAAAAGCTGCTATAAAGTTGTATGAAATGTGTTTTTTTTTTTTTTTGTGCATGGGTGTACTGAAGGACCCCAGTGAGCTGAGGTGCCCCCTGGTCCCTCTGACCCAGACCAGCCGGCTGGTGAGCCGTCTGGTGGAAATGCTGCCAGAGAATCACGCTCAGTACACCCTGGCTCTGCACCTCCTGGAAGCTGTGGATGTCCTCTCCACTGATTGATCTTTGTGATGCAGGCAGAGAAATTTTCATCGACTTTGCCAAAAAAAACAAAACACAGATGAGCATTTCTAAGCAGAGGAAATAGGCCTCACCCTTTTTCCACATGTTTTGTTTAAATCATGTTATTAATCAGAGGGCAATGTTAAATAGTGGCTTTTAACCTTTTTTTTAATTATATTTTTGTGCATGTAACATTAATCATAATGAATATTTCTGTTGTCAGAATGCGTTTGAGACTCTTATTCCGGCTCGTCTATGTTCTGTCTCACATTTTGACTTTAAAATCAGTGGTCCTGTGTGCCATGTAGGAGTTATATTAATCACTTCTATTTCGCATAGAAAAAAATGTATCATAAAAAAAAATCAGGAACTTATTTTTATTTATATATGCAGACAGTGCTGTACTAAGCTGCGCCTGTTATTCTGTAACTCCACGTCCAGCTGCTTCAACTGGGCCTCAATGCAGAATAAAGAGGTTTCTCAAAAGCTTTGTAGTTTATGTCATGTTTGTGTTGATGCTGCTGACTCGGAATGCAAACAGTTTTATTCCCTCGTTCTTCAAACTCAGTCACACAGTCTCACTTTGCTGGGAAAGAAAAGCAACATTTTATTTTACAATCATTTTTTACAGGAACTCGCCACTTTTTTTTCTATTCTGGACTTGGGTTGTCACATGGTGACACAAGTAGTGAACTGTTTTGCATCAACATAAAAAAAGAAAAGTCATTTCCATCCATTTCACAAACTTGCTCTCACTTCCCAACAATATTTACAGTAAACCTCATGTTTACAGCAGATTGAGATGACTTTGGGTTTTCAAGTTCACACCTGCACCTGAAGAAAAGTGAACAGATATGATGGGATGTAAGCTCTATCTGCTATAAACATTGTTCTTTTATAATATAAACCCTTCACTGATCTGTGGATTCAGTTTGCTTGCAGTGACCAGGATGGCAGCTGATTTATAGTGTGGGAGTGTAACCTCCAGTCTCTGGTCAATTAAATAAAATAAAAAAGAATAAAAGCATCATGAGGATGTTATGATGACAGCTGTGTCAGTGAGCCTGTGAGATCATGGTTTGGCAGCGCGGGCAGAGGCAGTCTGCAGACTCTGCTGTGTAGCGGCGACATCGTGGGCAGCGAGCAGCAGAGGTGGGCGTCACGGCAATACTGAAGGGGCTGTCCTCGCGAATAACGCCACCTAAAAAACGCACACTGCTGTGAAGTGCAAGCTAATTCAAATAGTTTCCTGTAAATGTTAAAAGGTTAACTAAGTTTACAAAAATCAAAGGAAACTGAACAAATGAAGGACAATAAGTGACTTGCATCAAAAATGATCAAATCTGACTCCTTTGAAGAAAAAATATAACGGAATATGGTCTAAATCTTACGACGGAGTATTAGGACCACACAAGATTTTTTTATTATGTTACAAGATTAAAGTCATAATTTTATGAGAGTAAAGTCAGAATATTACGAGATTAAAATCGGAATATTACAAGATTAAAGTCATAATATTATGAGATTAAAGTCATAATGTTACGAGAAAAAAGTCAGAATATTGCGAGATTAAAGTCAGAATATTACGAGAATAAAGTCAGAATGTTACAAGATTAAAGTCATAATATTATGAGATTAAAGTCATAATGTTACGAGAATAAAGTCAGAATATTACGAGAATAAAGTCAATATTATGAGATTAAAGTCATAATGTTAAGAGAATAAAGTCAGAATATTGCAAGATTAAAGTCATAACATGAGATTAAAGTCATAATGTTACGAGAATAAAGTCAGAATATTACGAGATTAAAGTCAGAATATTATGAAAATAAAGTCAATATTACGAGAATAAAGTCATAATATTACGAGAATAAAGTCATAATATTACGAGTTTAAAGACATAATATTATGAGAACAAAGTCATATTACGAGTTTAAAGACATAATATGAGAATAAAGTCATATTACGAGTTTAAAGTCAATTTTATGAGAATAGTCATATGAGTTTAAAGTCATAATTTTACGAGAGTAAAGTCATAATATTACGAGCTTAAAGTCATAATATTATGAGAATAAAGTCATAATACGAGTTTAAAGTCATAATTTTATGAGAATAAAGTCATTACGAGACTAAAGTCATAATATTACAAAAATAGTCAATTTTACAAGAATAGTCATAATATTACAAGAATAAAGTCATATTACGAGTTTAAAGTCATAATATTACGAGAATAAATTTTACAAGAATAAAGTCATAATTTTACGAGACTAATTTTGTAATTTTATGACTTTATTCTCGTAATTAAAAAGAAATCTTGTTGTGTGGGCCCTGATACTCCATCGTAGCATCTGGCCTCCTGCACAGTGGTATGTCAGTTTGTTTTAAACCCAGATGTTATTTTCCTCACCTTCCAGGTTGATGAGGAAGGTTCCGTGGTTCACCAGGGCGTCAGGGTGCAGATCGCGGGGCAGTGTACCGGTCAGGTTGACCCGTGCTGCCATCATTATCTCAGCTAGCTGAGAGGTGGTGGAGGTGGGTTCTTCTTGGAGAGACTGGAAGATAAAAACCAAGGAAGTGGGAAGTAACCAAGTAGATTTACTTGAGTACTGTACTTAAGTATTTTCCTAATTAATCTCAACTGCACTCGAGCTACTTTTACTTTTATTGGAGTAATATTTGACCAGCAGGATCAGTACTTTGACTCAAGTAATGAAACAGTACTTTTTCCACCACTGGTTGAGGTATTTTGCAGTAGCTTCCAGCTGACAGGATTGTTCGGTTTGTGCAGAAGTGTTTGCTGCTTCTTACCTCCATGAGCTCAAACAGAAGGCAGGGTTCGATGGCGATCGTGAGCTCATACTGACTGGCATTTTTTCCATGAATGGAGGACATGAATGAGTCCCTGATGGCACAAGCCCCTTCCACAGCCTCCTCTAACCCTGGCCGTCGCCACACGGAGCTGCTTTTGATCCACCCACTTTTAAATAAAGTCTCTTTTTCTGTAAAGCATCCAAAAATCTCTTTGTTAGAAAGCAACCAAGTCCTAAAGCTGCCAGTCGTAACTACGCAAACCAACATACCGCCATGTCCTGGTGCGTGCAGGTAAACCTCCTCTGCTAGATGTGGCAGGATGGGAGCGACGGATCGAGTCACACCATCCAGAATTTCCTCTAAAGCGGTTTGACACGACCTTCTTCCCAGTGAGTCCTCTGGATCACAGTACAGCCTGGATAAAGGACACATTGATAGGAGACGGGTGAAGGCAGAACTGGTTAGAATTTGGTGTATTTTATGTTGTGGAGAGGCCTTACCGGTCCTTAATGATGCTGAAGTAAAAGCTAGAGAGGTCTCTGGTGATGAAGGCTTGGAGGATACGGACAACTCTGCCAGCATCGAACTCACTGTAAGCATCTGTAACCTGAACACACAAACACACAGCTTTCTCTGTATGTGTKTGTATAAAACCTTGGACCAGCCCTCATTTCTTAACATTTTCCTTCTGAGGATCCCAACTTTTGAAATGTTATAAATCAGTCTTGATCAAAGTGATTCCTACAGATGTTAGCTGTAAACTTAGCATATTAGCAAAACGTGAAAAAACATCTGGCTCCTTTCATTAAACATTTCAAGAAATGAGTGATGAATCAACAGATTTATTAAATACATGAAATCTTAGAACCCATAGTTAGGCTCTACAACAGGGCCTACAAAATTCATAAAAAACTTCCTGGTTGGACTCATCACTGTACAGTTCTTTCATTGTCTGATGTCTTGACTTTTCAGAATYATGTTTTGTATAGTGGTATTAATTTATATTTTCAGATCTTCCAAGGTGCCAATTATGGAACTCTBTGTGCATTGTTGCCCAAATCAAATTCTAGAAGTGGTCATTCAACTAGATCTGTTACAAAAGGACAACTGATATTACCAACTTTTAAAAACTGTTACGGCCAGAGGTCTTTCTTCTATGTAAGCATGGAATGACATTCCTCAAAACATAAAGTCCATTTCAAAACTACAGCCCTTTAAGAAGAATCTTGTCTGCCATCTGCTGGACACTTTTTGTTGTGCTCATATTTAGACGTCCTATTTTGCAAATGCTGCCTTCCTGAAATTTGGTATGCTTGTCTTTGTGTCTATGGTGTATAATGATGTGATTGTGATGCTGTAATTCTGAGTGTTTTATGTGCTGCAGAACAGGAACCTGCTGTAAAACAGCAATTATGCTGAGTCAGGCTTGATTTTTAGTAATCTTTTCCTGTTAAATAAAGCAAATCAAATCAAATCAAATCAAATACAATGTGAGATGAACTTAAACCCACCTTCATGCTGTACTCGCGGAGCAGGTGCAACATGTACTGATCAATATAGTACATCTGCTGAGGGTCCACAGCTTGCACCTGTGGGTCGAAGCCCTGCAGGTTTCCAATGAGGAACCGGAGAGTGTTTCTCAACTAGAAAACATTTTAGAGGCACAGAAAGAGATGAGGATGTGAGTAAATGTAAAAAAAATTTAAAAAAATCTGCTGCTGTGTCCATCCTCCAGTGGTACCTTATCGACGTTGTCTCGGGCTGAGTTGAGGACATTGGGCCCAACCTGGACTTCAGAGAAGATGTTTGACTCTGCCACCCACCAACGAAGCACATCTGCCCCGTAAGCCGGTTCACTGCCGTCCTGACAGAGACGAAGATGATGTAAATAATTATTATTCTTTTAAACATTTGTTCTCCTTTAGTTATAACATTTTAAAGTTTTGTCTCAAGACTAAGAAACAAATAACAGAGAATAAAAAAACAAAACGAAATAAAACAGAAATCATTGTAAAATTGTGTAGATTTCAAAATGCAGAAAACTTAAAGCTGTATATTTTTAAATCCTTTTTCATTTATTTTGCAGACACAAGGGAAAATAAATGATTGTTTCCATACTTATGTTTAGAAAATCTAAATTCTAGCAGTCTATTTAAAAAAAATAGTAAAAAGGGAAATAAAGTATAGAAAACTTGTGAAATGTTGAGGAAATTGTGTTAAATATGTAAATAGATAATGTATATAAAGTAAATAAATAAGCTTATTTATTGACATTTCCTTTTTTATTTCTTTGGCACAACAGTCATTTTATATAAAGATAAAGATATATAAAAGACAAAAAAAAAATTATGTTATTTATTTTTTGTTTTGAAAAAAATATAATAATTCACACACTTTAAGAAAAAAATATACCAACAATATCTCAGAATTAATTTTTTTCTTTCTTTCTTTAACCGTCTCACCTTGGTTCCATTGATGATTTCATCAGGATTCACAACATTTCCCAGAGATTTGGACATTTTTTCTCCCTTCTCACTGATTGCAAAGCCGTGGACCACCAGAGACCTGCAACACATTACACACAATTAACAAACACTTTTCATTTCAAGAGTAACTAACGTCCCCCGACCACCACCGCCACCGCCTCCCTGCATGAAAACATAACGCTGCCCCAAGGCCAATTTGAAAAATGCCAACAAAGTGGGCGGTGCCAAGAGACACTGAGGGGCGTGACCTAAAGCTAGCTGTCACGTTCTGTCACTCATCCCCCCACTTTAGGCCACGCACCTCAGTGTCTCTTGGCACCGCCCACTGTTGGCGGTGCCAAGAGACACTGAGGGGCGTGGCCTAAAGTGGGGGGATGAGTGACAGAACATGACAGCTAGCTTTAGCTTCATTTGACAAGTTAAATATTTTTAAAAACATTTCTGAATGTTCTAAAGACAGGACTTTGTAAAAAGAAAAGTTTCATGACATACATGCAAACTAGGGCTGCACAATATATCGCTAATTTATTGTTATCGCGATAACAGCCAGTGCTATATGCATATTGAAAAAATGACTGGCTCCTATGTTTGCATTTTTGTTGTTTGTCAACATCAGTCTGATAAACAAAACGGACCAGAGAAACAACATCAAATCATAATCACTCCATCATGTTGTAATGGAAATTATGTATTAGTTGTTTTTTGCTCTGAGCCCAGAGCAGAAAAACATCAACACTGCATATTTAATTGTTTTAATTATTATTTTTATTTATTTATCATAACTCATATCGTCATCGCAATATTAAACACCATTAATGCACATCGCAGGTTTTCTTGATATCGTGCAAYTCTAATGCAAACTCACATTTAGCTGTTACAGCATAAACAGGCAACAAACTGTTCAAATGTAACTTTGGTCCAAAACGAACAGAAAGAATAGTTTTTTCCTTTCTGTTTGGTTCACCACCCCACCCCGGACACACCAGCCCGGGCAGCCTGATGTGAAAAGTCTCGGCGCTACGGAGGCTCTATTTTAACTGAGCCTCCAGTTCTCCTGCAGCGTGACGCATCACAAACTGAATTAACTTATTTAAAGATCCTCTTTGTGGTTAAATACATATTTTTTAGACAAACTACAAAGTTGCTGTTTCATAGAGTTTAGATCAGGACTAAAGAAAATCCTAATAATGACATTTATAACAGTAGCTGTGGAGCACATTTTGCACATATTTACACATTAATATAAATGATAAAAAAAACTTACTTATAAGGTGCTCTGTTCCGGACTGCCACACTGGTGAGTAGTGACGACTGAAACCAGCCTCCAAGTTGGTCCTTTCCTTCCACATACACATCTGCTTTGGASTCTGACTCTTCATGGAAGCAAAGAAAGTAAAATGTATTAAATGACGGAAAATGTGTGTTTTGAAAAAGACAGAAAGCGGAAGGAAGACGAGAAACATCAGCTGCTATTAGTCGGGAAATGACTGAGACCAAACACTTAAAAACTAAATTATCGGCAACTTTATGAAGCCGTTCGTCACAAACAATCAGCAAGACCAAAACAGACTGGAAGTCCCACCCAACCTGAATCAATCTACAAAAAGTGACAACAGAGAAAGAAAGTTTGAGCCAACCCTAGAAAAAGAAAAATCTATGTTATCTGAGGCAACGTGCTCTGAGAAAATCCTGCATGCCAACAGAGGTGAAAAGATGAAAATCATGCTGAAGGACTTCTATTGTCTTGCCTGCTAAGTTTGGGCAATAATGCAACAATTTTCCAACCGATATTCACCAGTCCAACAAATGACGATGTATTCACGCAGGTGACTTACGCAATTTTTTGTGAGGAACAATGTGAACTTGCACAAACTGAATTGCCAATTTAGAACGAAAATGTGCCGAAACGGAGGAACTAGCTACCAAAAAAATAAAAAGTCTCCTATTTGGGATTACTTTAACTTTAAATCGGATGAAAGAAAAAAAAAACATGCTTGTTTTCTTGTCAAAGAATTTATCCAATTTATCTGGTTAAAACAGATAATATTATAAGATTTTTTTCTTCTCTCTGCTACCTTTCATTTCATTTTATTTGTATTTTTCTTTTTTATTGTACATAGAATTTTGTTTTATGAAACAAATAAAGTTTATAACTAAAAAAAGGTTATAATTGTTCTTGTTCTGACTTTATATTGAGATGTTATAGCTGTTAGGTTATTCATTCATTTATTTATTTACTTATTTTGTGTGCATCAAATTGCTCAGAAAGACTTAAAACAGCGGCATTTTTTAATAGAAGTTTGCTGGATCATTTTTATAGTTTAATTTTTATTTAATTTTGTATTTGCCATTTTACACATAGCCAAGACTGCAGGACAGATAAACACTGAAACGGCCTGTAAATATGGTTATATTAAATAAAAACCAGTCCCTGTTTCCCTCCCCACCAATTTGGTTWTTGWGTGAATAAATATATTTTCTGAACAAAGACTACTACCATTTTTCCTTTCTATTAGAAGTCTGAGTAAATAAATCAGTGCTGCATTTGGRGGCATGTTGTGTGTACCCTAAACAACAGCATTATGTATTATTTTGTGCTTCAACCAAACACTTTTAAAAATTAAGAAACCAACTCATAGGCAAAAACTAAAAAAACACTGTTAAAACAGCAGTTGAAGGGCTCAGCCTGTTGTTGACRGTCAATGGCCCAACCTTACTGCCTACATGTAGTTTTTGAAATACTCATTAAAGCACAATAAAAATCATTTCAAAGGAAAAAGAGGAAGCACGAGCCAAACCAAGAATGATAAAAGTTAAACGGCCTGAACAGCAAAGAGCTGCCGTGTCGCCCGCTGCAGGGAAACATCTGAGCAACCTGTGACACGAGGTTTTCGTAGCGACGTGTGGAGCCAGCTGAGACGTGACTCAGACTCCTCGGCTTCTTCCTCAGTCTCCTCTGGAAATTACAACAAATTCAGATACTTGAACATTTCAAATACCTCAATGGATTTTAACAGAAAATTATCACGGGCAAAATTTCACATTTGTCTTTACTATATAGAACTCGAACGCGTCTTTGTTGTMCATGTAAGTAAACTGTTAATCTACATTTATTTACCTGCAATATAAATCAGTTCGTATTTTTGGTCAGATGAAATAAGTTTCAGTCGTACCTTCGAGTACAGCTGCCCACGATGCTCCACTGTCAAACCAGATGTCAAAAACATCTTCTCCTCGAAYGTAGTCACTCACCGGTCCTGCTTTACTCTGACAAAACGAAATGAATAAGAATGAACATAAACCCAAATTATTGTGAATTAAATTTCCAAAATCAGTTGACAGCAGCAAATGGAAACTCCAAATAATTTCTGATTTTTTTTTTTGGTTCTATATTATTTTATTTTGCAAAAACTAAAAAAATAAAATTTTAATATCGTGGTTTTATATAT